AAATGGTAAGGGCCGCGGTGGTTCAGCATTTTGGAGGAAAATATTTTTTTTTTTGAATAGGCTAGTTTCCCCACAATGAATGTACATACATGCCATTAGATGGATCCTGACCCCCATATCCCTTTGGAAGGGGTGTAGGGGCAAATATTGTAAAAATTTGAATTATCACAACTTTCGGGCCGAAATTAGAAGGTCCGGGGTGGTTGAGCATTTTGGAGGAAAATATTTTTTTTTTTGAATAGGCTAGTTTCCCCACAATGAATGTCCATACATGCCATTAGATGGATCCTGACCCACATATCCCTTTGAAAGGGGCATAGGGGCAAATATTGTGATAATTTGAATAAACACCAATTTCAGGGCTGAAATGGTAAGGGCCGGGTGGTTCAGCATTTGGAGGAAAAAATTATATTTTTTTTTTAATAGGCAGTTTCCCCACAATGAATGTACATCCATGGCATTAGATGGATCCTGACCCCCATATCCCTTTGAAAGGGGCAAGGGGCAAATATTGTAAAAATTTGAATTATCACAACTTTCGTGCCGAAATTGTAAGGGCCAGGGTTCAGCATTTTTGAGGAATTTTTTTTTTTTTTTTTAATAGTTAGTTTCCCCACAATGATTGTACCATACTTGCCATTAGATGGATCTTGACCCCCATATCCCCTTGAAAGGGGAGAAGGGGCAAATATTGTAAAATTTGAATTATCACAACTTTCGTGCCGAAATTGTAAGGTCGGGGTGGTTCAGCATTTTGGAGGAAATTTTTTTTTTTTTAATAGGTTAGTTTCCCCACAATGAATGTCCATACATGCCATTAGATGGATCTTGACCCCCATATCCCTTTGAAAAGGGGCGTAGGGGCAAATATTGTGATAATTTGAATAAACACCAATTTCGGCCGAAATGGTAAGGGCCGGGGTGGTTCAGGATTTTGGAGGAAAATATTTTTTTTTTTAATAGGCTATTTTGTTTCTCCACAATGAATGTAACTACATGCCATTAGATGGATCTTGACCCCCATATCCCTTTGAAAGGGGCATAGGGGCAAATATTGTGATAATTTGAATAAACACCAATTTCATTTCAGGCTGAAATGGTAAGGGGCCGGGGTGGTTCAGCATTTGGAGGAAAATATTTTTTTTTTTAATAGGCTAGTTTCCCCACAATGAATGTACATCCATGGCATTAGATGGATCCTGACCCCCATATCCCTTTGAAAGGGGCGAAGGGGCAAATATTGTAAAAATTTGAATTATCACAACTTTCGTGCCGAAATTGTAAGGGCCAGGGGTTCAGCATTTTGGAGGAAATATTTTTTTTTTTTCAATAGCCTAGTTTCCCCACAATGAATGTACATACATGCCATTAGATGGATCCTGACCCCCATATCCCTTTGAAAGGGGCGTAGGGGCAAATATTGTAAGAATTTGAATTATCACAACTTTCGGGCCGAAATTAGAAGGGTCGGGGTGGTTCAGCATTTTGGAGGAAATTTTTTTTTTTTTTAATAGGTTAGTTTCCCCACAATGATTGTACATACTTGTCATTAGATGGATCTTGACCCCCATATCCCCTTGAAAGGGGCGTAGGGGCAAATATTGTGATAATTTGAATAAACACCAATTTCAGGCCGAAATGGTAAGGGCCGCGGTGGTTCAGCATTTTGGAGGAAAATATTTTTTTTTTTGAATAGGCTAGTTTCCCCACAATGAATGTACATACATGCCATTAGATGGATCCTGACCCCCATATCCCTTTGGAAGGGGTGTAGGGGCAAATATTGTAAAAATTTGAATTATCACAACTTTCGTGGCGAAATTGTAAGGTCAGGGGTTCAGCATTTTGGAGGAAAATATTTTTTTTTTTCAATAGCCTAGTTTCCCCACAATGAATGTACATACATGCCATTAGATGGATCCTGACCCCCATATCCCTTTGAAAGGGGCGTAGGGGCAAATATTGTAAGAATTTGAATTATCACAACTTTCGGGCCGAAATTAGAAGGTCGGGGGTGGTTCAGCATTTTGGAGGAAATTTTTTTTTTTTTTTAATAGGTTAGTTTCCCCACAATGATTGTACATACTTGCCATTAGATGGATCTTGACCCCCATATCCCCTTGAAAGGGGCGTAGGGGCAAATATTGTGATAATTTGAATAAACACCAATTTCAGGCCGAAATGGTAAGGGCCGCGGTGGTTCAGCATTTTGGAGGAAAATATTTTTTTTTTTTGAATAGGCTAGTTTCCCCACAATGAATGTACATACATGCCATTAGATGGATCCTGACCCCCATATCCCTTTGGAAGGGGTGTAGGGGCAAATATTGTAAAAATTTGAATTATCACAACTTTCGGGCCGAAATTAGAAGGTCCGGGGTGGTTGAGCATTTTGGAGGAAAATATTTTTTTTTTGAATAGGCTAGTTTCCCCACAATGAATGTCCATACATGCCATTAGATGGATCCTGACCCACATATCCCTTTGAAAGGGGCGTAGGGGCAAATATTGTGATAATTTGAATAAACACCAATTTCAGGCCGAAATGGTAAGGGCCGGGGTGGTTCAGCATTTTCGAGGAAAATATTATATTTTTTGAATAGGCTAGTTTCCCCACAATGAATGTACATACATGCCATTAGATGGATCCTGACCCCCATATCCCTTTGGAAGGGGCGTAGGGGCAAATATTGTGATAATTTGAATAAACACCAATTTCATGCCGAAATTATAAGGCCGGGGTGGTTCAGCATTCTCGAGGAAAATATTATATTTTTTGAATAGGCTAGTTTCCCTACAATGAATGTCCATACATGCCATTAGATGGATCTTGACCCCCATATCCCTTTGAAAGGGGCGTAGGGGCAAATATTGTGATAATTTGAATAAACACCAATTTCAGGCCGAAATGGTAAGGGCCGGGGTGGTTCAGGATTTTGGAGGAAACATTTTTTTTTTTAATAGGCTAGTTTCTCCACAATGAATGTAACTACATGCCATTAGATGGATCTTGACCCCCATATCCCTTTGAAAGGGGCATAGGGGCAAATATTGTGATAATTTGAATAAACACCAATTTCAGGCTGAAATGGTAAGGGCCGGGGTGGTTCAGCATTTTGGAGGAAAATATTTTTTTTTTTTAATAGGCTAGTTTCCCCACAATGAATGTACATCCATGGCATTAGATGGATCCTGACCCCCATATCCCTTTGAAAGGGGCGAAGGGGCAAATATTGTAAAAATTGAATTATCACAACTTTCGTGCCGAAATTGTAAGGGCCAGGGTTCAGCATTTTGGAGGAATTTTTTTTTTTTTTTTAATAGGTTAGTTTCCCCACAATGATTGTACATACTTGCCATTAGATGGATCTTGACCCCCATATCCCCTTGAAAGGGGCGTAGGGGCAAATATTGTGATAATTTGAATAAACACCAATTTCAGGCCGAAATGGTAAGGGCCGCGGTGGTTCAGCATTTTGGAGGAAAATATTATTTTTTTTGAATAGGCTAGTTTCCCCACAATGAATGTACATACATGCCATTAGATGGATCCTGACCCCCATATCCCTTTGGAAGGGGTGTAGGGGCAAATATTGTAAAATTTGAATTATCACAACTTTCGGGCCGAAATTAGAAGGTCCGGGTGGT